TTTAGAATTATTTATTTACATATGGAGCTGAATATTTAAAAATTTTAGCCCTAACAGAAATTGATTTAATGAGATATCATATTTTGCGTCAAAGCTAGTATTTTCATTCTTTTATAGACTCGCCATTTAAAAAAATATAAAAATGAATATTCATCTCTATTGGGCTAATTTTTTATGTGTTATGCTCCATATTAAAATGAATGAATTTGAAAATTTTCTTACAAATAACAAGAGTATTTTATAAAAAAAAATATAAAATAAGATTGTTGCAGTAAATTTTTAGATTGTCTATTTCTCTCTTGTTATGAAGTTTTGTTAAATAAATCTTATATTTCTAGAATCATTGTTTTATAAGCTTTCCGTGCATATATTATTTGCAATATTTGGATGTACGGTTTGAGATATATGAATTTTTAAAGTTCGAAAAAATTAAAATTTAAATAAAAGAGTATTTTGGTTTAAATATCAACTCTTTTACCCTCCTTATATAGTTGAGGGGGTTATTTGGTAAAAAATTAGATAAAGGAAATTTATTGGAAAGGGCTACAAGTCGAGGGGGGTTCTTTGGTAAAAAATTAGACGAGTGGGGTTTACTGGAAAATGGTACAAGTCGAGGGGGGTTTTCTGTACTTTGCCAAACTTTTTAATCCAAACGCAACTTAAAGGAATCTTCATCTTGAGTTTTTAACTCGAGCTGACATAAAATGTATTAAGCCTTTAACCCAAACGCAACTCAAACCACCGTCATCTTAAACTTTTGGGTTAGTTTCATTAACACCCGTTGAGGTATTGGTTAATGCCGCTCAACGGTTGGTCAACATTTTTTTGGCCAATAACACCGGAGGTTTTAAAATCTTCATCCAGACCCGTCCAGACTATAAAAAGACCTAAATGCCCTTTGATTAGTCAACAATTACTTTTTAATCATAAAATGACCCGAATGCTCTTTCTAACTAATTTTAATTGACCAAATTGACCCATTATTTGGACAATTGCATTAATCTACCCCTCTATCTTCACCGATTCGTCCTATCACCCATCATCAGTATAAAACAAGTCTTAGTGGTGGCTATTCGATTGTATATGTGTGTGTATGTGTGCGCGCGCGCACGCGTGTGTGTATCAACGACAACCTTGTCTGCCTTACCTTCCACTGCTACGAATTCTCTACCAAATCCATCCTCACAGATTATGATACAAAGAGCGAGACACATGTCTGTATATGTATGTGAATTTGGTTTTAATTTAAGGTTCCTTATGATTCGATTATGTTCGTTATAAGTTGAGATGATAGTGGTAGAAGTGGAGGGAGGGGGTATATATATGTATGTGGGGTTTCAAATTGGTGGTATACGAATTGGGTTCGATTTGGGGTTTTGCGTTGTGGGTAGTGGTAGCGAACTTGATCTTGGCCTTCGTAAGGTGGCAGAGTACTAGATGCTCAACGGTGGTGATGCTAATGGTAGTATCGCCGCAACCTGTTTTTAGTTCTTAATTGCTAGCTACGTACGGCTTTTTAAGCGGTGGTTGAGGTGGCAATGGTGGGTAGTGGTTGTGGGGTGGATGTTACAGTGGTGAGTGGAGAGAGAAAGAAAGAAAGGGGCGGACGGTGGTGGGGTAAATGATGGCGGTTGGTGGTAGTAAGAACAGGTTGGCAATGATGGGTGATGGTTGTTAGGTGGATGTTACTATTGTAAGTGGAGAGAGAAAGGGGCCACCGATGGTGGAGGTGGCAATTGTGGTTGGTGGTGGCGACACCCCTCTCTAAAGTGTTGAGCTCTCTTTTTCTCTCATCATCTTCCCTAGTGTTTGAGGGGGAAAAAAAATTCTTTTCTGGTTGTCAGTTATGTTCACATTGCTGGTGTTATGTGAATAAAATTGAATTAAAAATTTAGGGGGTATTTATGACATTTCAAATGAGAAGGGGGTGTCAATGTCCAAAAAAATGTTGAGCAGCCCCTGAGTGGCATTGCCGCATTGACCAATACCGCATGGGATGTCAGTGCAATTAACCCTAAACTTTTCTACTCAAACCAACATAAAATCTATTTAGACCTTTAACCAGAACATAACTCAGTCTTCATATTGAACTTTTCAATTCAACCCAACATAAAATATGTTAAAACTTTTTAAGCCGAACACAACTCAAACATCCTTCAAACCCAAACACAACTCAAACATCCTTGATCTTGAGCTTTTCAACTCGAGCTTAACATACACTCAAAATTTTGAGCTTGGGTCATGTTTGGGTTGGAAAAATCTACCTGAAATTTGTGTTTGTGGAAGTTTTAATAGGATAAGGTTTCATTGATTGTAGGGACAGAGGCAGGATGTAAGGTAAGTGAGGGCAAAAATGAATTTTGTGGGGGCAATAGTGCATTTTTCTATTAATTTTAGTAGGGGCAATGTAATATTTCATGTGTATATTACTGAAAATGATTAAATTACAAGGGTAAAATATTAATAAAAAAAAAAAAAAATTCAGTGGGGGCAATTGTCCCTACACCCTTGAACGTGTATCCGTCCCTGATTGGTTGTCCAATCTTTATAAAGAAAATTTTAGAAGTTTTTTTTATCATAGAATATAGAAAACGAAAAATAAAAATAAAAATAAAAACAAAAATTATAGGGTTTGTTTGTCAACTATTTTTTTTATCATTATTACTAGCATTATTTTTTTACACCACAAATGAGCAAACCTCGTTAGTTGTTACCCTCTCTCCTTACCCACCCCCACTGCTATGCAAACCATGAGAACCTGCTGACAAAAGATCTCATCTTAATCCCATTTGTTCAATGACACTGAAACAATTGCCACAATCTTGGATGCTATAGAATCTGCTAAATATATTTTAAAATTCATGGGCTGGACTCGGGTTGGGCTGGGCTAGCCCGCCCAAGTTGCACCCCTAGATGCTATATAATCTGCTAAATATATTTTTTTAAATACACACAATTATCTACAAAGCAAAGCAGCATCAACATAGATTAACCACATTTTTAAATACACACAATTATCTACCAAGATAAATCGAGTTTGGGCAAGAGTCATACCGACCAGTGTGTCTTAATTATTTTTTTTTTTTTTTTTTTTTTAAATAAAACCCCATATAATTGTAAGTACTCAATCACAATAACTATTCCACAAGTTATCAAATATCTTAGGAGAAACAATTTCAAGTAGCACACGTAGATCCAAGAGTCTTTTAAGAGAAAATTAATGCTAATTAGACTTCATTTTATGCTTAATTGATATCACCATTCTGTTCCATAAAAATAGAGTACCATAATAGAACCTTAATTAATAGCTGATTTGCTCAAAAAATTTGTTTTAACCAAAGTTGAGGTGATTAGTAAAACGACACTACCCAAAAAAAAAAAAAAAAAAAGGCTCTAAATTTTTTAGATCCACGTTATTCATGAGTCTAAATAGTTCCCATGAATTTTTACATTGTACAAAGAATTTGCCACATGTAGATGAATATACCGCAAGAAAGAAGAGAAAACAAACTTGACAGGATTTCAAGAATCAACAATAGATAAGATTTTTTTTTTTTTTTTTGAATGGGTAAGCTTTGTATAAAATAGGAAAAAATTTCTACAGCAGTCCAAAAAGTCCATGAAAATGGACGGGACACCAAGGCAACACACAAGTACAAAATAAAAATAGGTAAGATTGATGCATTTGGTTTTCTACACTGCTGGAATGCCTTCACATGGGAGATGCAACTATAAATTATTACTCAGAAAATAATTTCTAATTATGTGGGTTCCACAACTCCACTACCATTTGAATAAGTGTACCGAAAGCAAATAAGGTCTAGCACTTGAGAATACCATTAAAAAAAAAAACAAATCATAACAAAGATATTATTAACTCAAATAACATGACATAAAACTCTTTAAATTACTATCATGTTAGATATCTAGAAAATAGTCTTTTCGCCAATTAGAGGTGTTAATCCTACTATACAGTGGCACATGGTTTACAAATAGGGGTTAAACAAGTGGCCAATTCATGAACAACCTAGACTGAACTACTTAAAAGATCTATCCATATTAAGCAGCAAGTACACTTGCATAATTTAATCAACTTTTTCGACCTCATTAAGTAAGCAAGCCAAACTCGAAGAAACCTTGCTTGACTCATACAAATGATCATGAGTAGACTCGTTAAGACCATTGAATATAAATTCGTTTATTGAGTTCATATTAAAGATATTATTAACTCAAATAACATGACATAAAACTCTTTAAATTACTATCATGTCAGAGGTCCAGCGGATAGTCTTTTCGTCAATTAGAGGTGCTAATCCTACTATGCAGTGGCACATTGTTCATAAGTAGGGGTCAAACAACTGATCAATTCATGATCAGTTTATACTGAACTACAAAAAAAGATCTATCCATGTTAGGCAGCAAGTACACCTGTATAATTTAATCAACGTTTTCGATGTCATTAAGTAAGCAAGCCAAACTTGAAGATACTTTGCTTGAGTCATACAAATGATCATGGGTAGACTCGTTAAGACCGGTGAATATAGCTGGTTTACTGAGTTCACTATGCCACACCTACTCTTTCTACAGTTCTCCACCTTCTCTGCCTTCTTCATTTTGATTTTCCTCCCTGATCACAGCCCTGATAAAACATTCCACACAAAAAGATATATGGATTAATAATAAAATCAAGCATCTTGCCTCCTCTTTCTTTTCTTCTTAGATATGATTTGGAATTTTATTTTATTTTATTTTTTTTTTAAGTATAAGCAAAAGATTCCAAATGTTTTGGGATAAAAGAGTGAGCTGAGTTTGCTCTTCTTTTACGGAATTTCTTAGCTCCATTCCCTAGCTCCATTACTGCCTTCTCCGTGCAAAAAGGTGAATCTGCACAAGTAACGGTATTACCAAATTTTGCTCTAAATAAAACCAGACTCTCAGTATAATCATTTGCATAAAATGTAGATCCACGAATAAGATGCATTTTTTGTTCCGTATAGGGATCATAAGCTACCAGATACCCAGTATATAATCGTAACAGAACTTTGCCTTGTGAAGCCAACAACGCTACCGAATCCTACACTCATATCAATATTGAATACTTTGGTCCAAGAATCTGATATTCCATACTCCTTCATCACCCATACGCAACAAGTATATTTGCTCCAAAGATCTTGAATCAGAGAGAGTGATTCTTGAAACTTAGCCACAACAACATTTTGCCGAGAAAAGCTAACAGGGACCATGATCTCGCCAAATCTCTGATCACCCATGTGGAATGACACGATCAAGCAGTAGAAATCTTTCCTTCTCCCATCATAAGCAAGCCAATGTGCAGACTTATTCAGATTCTATGAAGTCCAAAACGATTTTACGGAGTCTAAAACGATTCCAATTCTACGGAGTCCAAAATGATTCTGCGTAGAATCCCGATTTTAACAACCAAGTTTGTAGAGATACACAATCCTGATAACTTTGTAGTCATCATTCAGGGCATCGAAGCCGATCCCAATGCTATGCTTAAAAAGACCGTGTGATTGAAACTTAACCCGTAATGGCGGAAGGGCAATTGCCTTCCGAATGGATGGATTCCATAGATAAAGTACCTCCCGGTAACCGTGTAAATCATCGAGAAGGCACAAGAGCCCATTGCAGCTACCGATCATCCTTAAGTAAGGGTAGTTGTGTCTCTTCAGTGAAGCTCAAGCTCTGCATAATCACAGAATATTTCGTTTTCCCAATGAAGTAGTGAGTAATTCACTTGATTGGCATCATCAGCAGAGAGGCTTCGAATTAGAAGAAGGTGGCTGTTGTTGTTGTTGTTCGCATTGAGGTATGGCAGGATACAACAATAAAATAAAGTTAATTAATATTATTTTTATATATATATAAATACTAGTAATAATTTTTGATCAATTTTTGAAAATTTTTATAATCTAAATGCAATCAATAATAAGGCATAAAACAAGCAACTCTAAGTCATCACGTAATAATATATATATATATATATTTTTTTTTATACCAATTATATTATGTTATTATTGTTGAAAAAGTTGAATTTTAATGTTCAAACTTGTTAAAAATGTGTTATGAAGTATGAAGTATCGGATATGCAATCGAAATACCTTAGTATCTGTTGACCCTAAAATTGGCCGACTGAAGCCGATCTTAAATTGATTTAATGTGGGCGTGCCAGAACCACTCGTGTGGTTCGATTGTAAATAGTCAACGTTAGTTCCTTTGAGAAGGTTGACTTTCAGACGATGCAAAAAAAAAGGGAACAATAAAATTCCTCTTTTGAGTTCAAACAATGCCTTAGTTAAAAGGACTTTCCAGTGAACAATTTATAGTAACGTATCAAGAGAATAGAAAGGGGAGGAAAATAGATATAGCAAGAAGAGAGAGAGAAAAAGAGATAGAAGGAAAGAGGGAGAGCGAGAATAAGAAGATAGGGATAGAGAGAAATAAGAAATAGCAAGGATGCTCTTCTAAAAAAGGCTTGAGAAAGCAAAACACAATAAATAAAATGATTCTGAGGGCGCTGGACCTCTTTCACAGCATGCCTCCTTCTTTATTTATAGATAGCATACAAAACAAATTCCTAAGTTCAAGTATTCTATTTGTAATAAAACTCTAATCATAACAACAATTCAAATTAAATTAAACTACAGATAGCCTAACTGAAAAATAAAACAAACTCTATCTATCTTTTACTTCAAAATAAATCTTTGCACATAATTTAGATCCACGTGGAATTGTCAACACTTCTCCAGTCCAAATCCCAATCATGTAATCAGCCCAATATTCCATGTACCCACCCTAATCTTTTCTCACAATTCACGCCCTTATCCTGTTGCATGTAGTTTTGCTCCATAGTTCATGTCTATGTGCCATATTGATGAATTTCTTTCCAATCAAATTGCTAACCCAACCCATCTTCGGCCCAATCATAAATCCATAAACCAAATATCCTCTATGGCCCACGTATTAAAATGGGTCTACAACCCAAATGCCAAAATGGGTGTCAACAATGCATCATAATGTTGTTCACACCATATACTCTTCATTCGTATCAAGAATGAAATTCCTAAAAAATGCTGATCATGCTAACCCATCTTATCAACCATTAATTAGGCTATAATAATCTTTTCATTTCCCAACTAAAACACGGCTCTTCCTTCATTTAATTAAAGCTTTATACCTCTAACATAACTTTTCTCCCAAAAACGCTTCTTTTTCCTCCCAAAAACTCTCTGTAACTTAGTCTTCTTCCTCAAATCAACCCCTTTTCCTTTCATCATGTCTTCAAAAACGCAAAAACAACATGCTGGTCTTGTTTTGGAAACTCCCATGCCAGAATCTACTTCGCATACACAACTGACCAAAAAAGCAATCAAAACCCTAGTGCCTTCTGAAATTAATACTTCAATTCTTATTGATTTGCCCAATAACGCTAAAGGCCTTGGCCCAGCGTTCCTCAACCTATCCCCTCCATCGTTGTCTTCGTTTTATCCCCAAGGAGAGGAACATCTTCCTTTTTCTAAGCCGATTTACCAAACTGCAGAAGGCGAACGACCATCTTTATCGATCAGGAATTGGTACCCTCCCATGCTTCAATGGAGTGAGTGGGTGGACCATGTCTCTGCAACAAAAGGTGAATTGTGGAAACGCATGGGCATATTTGACCTTATCCAACTGAGCAAGATCCCTCTAACCTTAGATAGATCTTTATTTTTCGCATCTTTGCATTTCTGGTCTCCCACGACCAACTCACTACACTTGCATTGTGGGATGATGTCTCCCACCCTTCGTGATGTATGCTTTTTAACTGGCTTCAAACCTGGAGGGGATGATATTAATTACCTCCTCCAAGACCTTGAGACGACATTTAATTTCCCTAAGCAAGAAGGATCAAAACCATACGTTCAATGCCCATTCTTGAAAGAAATGCTTGGTAATTTCGGGTCTGAAGTAAATGAACAAGAACACAATTTGCCATCACAAGCTGAACTGGGGTAGAATTCTACAACCCATCACAATTTGCCAGGCAATTTGGGTTAACTTAAATGATTCCCGTGCCCCCTCATTTCTCATAAAATAAGAACTACCACAAGAGAGTAAACTTTTAGAGACCGATCAAATCAGAGAAGTAACCAATAAATTTCAACAATGCCTACAAAGTTTCCAATACAAAGAATTTGCAGCAGAACCTTACACTGACCCATCTTTTGAGAAATGGTAGTCGGCATATGTCAATTTTACCAAGACTCAAGATTCTACTCAATTAACTCACCATCTCATTGGATCATACAAATTTATATCTATGTTCTTTCAAGGAGGAGAAACCATCATACCTGTTGTTCTTGCCACAGCTCCTACACCAGAGGATAAACCCATTAAATCCACCAGTCATGCTCCACCTACAACTCCAGCAAGTAGAACTAGATCACACTTTCGGCAAAGTAAGTTGTGATCTTTATTTCATCTCATCAATAATATTATCTATACTTCAATGTAGACTTGTTATTGTTTAACACTGCAGGTGCTCCCCCCTCTGCAGGGGAAGGAACGAACCCAACTTTGTCAGAATTAACCCCACCTGATCTCTACACTCCTCTTCAAAACATACCTCCTGTAGCTGTTACTCAGGTAGCACTTATGATCAACTTCAACCATTCTTTTATGCATACCATTTTTTCTGCTAATTCTTTTATTCCAGAAGAAAGTGAGAAAGAAAACTGTGGAAAAGAAGCCTGCTAAAAAATTAAGGGCCAAAAGACACTTCGTCATGATTGACGATGATGACGATAAGGATGAGGATGATGTTGTGTCCAAGAAAAAGAAATCTACCACTAAACTCCCATGGTAAAATTCTTTGATGCTTGATTACATTCTTGTTTAATCATTATGACTAAATCAACATAAATTTTAGGACACTCCACCTTCTTCAGAGCAAAGTCAAGTCGAGACTTTACTGTGGACACCATTGAAAAGAAAAAGGTTGAGTTTTCAGTGGAGCAAGAACAAAAACCTTCAGGAAAGATCTTTCCATCTTTCTCTCAACATTTAGCTTTAGCTCCAATGAAAGAGCAGATTGGAGACTCTAAGGAAGTAAGTATCTAAAATGAACATAATATTTATTTATTTATAATAATTGAAACTGATTCAAGATATTGCAGGTGCAGAAAGACCCTTCTTCTCTTATTGTGCTTACAAGATCTAACCCGAGTTCACTATTCACCACTTTGGATTCTCTATTTGATTCCGTGTTTGACTTCGTGGATTATGAACCCACTGCAACCCCAACTGAGAGCATCATTGAAATCCCACTGGAAGTAGTTAAGGCTATGCAGATACTACTCCAAATGTTTCAACAGGATCTGTCCTTAATCCCCTCCTTGAAGGAAGAACTTACCGAGACCCTTTCCTTCTTGAGTAGCTATCCAGGATTTCCTTTGAAAGACCAATCCTTTTTCAAGAATGTTCAACTTCAAGTTCCATCCATGCTTGTTATTTATACTGAGTCAACTCAAACCATTAACCAGTATACTGCTTAAATCCAAGAAAAAGAGTTGTTTTCCTAGGCTTTAAAGAATGGAAGAGAATTGCATCTGTCCTTGAAGAAAGAAGTTGCTGAACTAGATGCTAGAAAGAAAAAGCTTCAGGCACAACTAACTCAGCTTCAACAGGATAGATCCCAACTCAGCCAGTATGGTAGCAGAACTGAAGAAACAAGCAGAAGTTGCTGCTCCTAAATTTAAAGTACTACAAGCCCAGTTACCAAAGTTGGAGCAGTCCAAACAGCAAGCAGAAATCAAACTTACCAACACTAAGGCCTTATAGGCAGATATAAAGGCCAAGTTTGAAAATTTTCATATGAACTTTACTCACCTTTGAACAATTTTATCTTTTCTCTAATGGTCTGTAATATGGTTTTAAACAATTTGCCTTTATGGAACATGCTGTGATGTTTTAAACAGTCCTGCTATAATGGTATTTTAATTTTATTGCTGCAAAGTACTCTTATCTTTACATAACTTGCATAAAACAAAAGGTAAATATAATCCAAACTATTCTGACTTATTGAAAAATTTCTTTTCTTCCATAAGTTCAAAAATAGTTGGTTTATATTTTTTAAGATACCTTCCATTTATTGGCCTTTCATGCACACTACCATCTAAATCCTTCAACTTATATGCACCTCCATACAACACTTGGTGAACTACATATGGTCCTTTCTAAGTAGGTGACCACTTTCCATAAACTCTGTTTATCTTTCCCGGTGGAAGAATCATTTGCCAAACCATATCTCCCTCTGCAAATGATTTGAACTTTACCCGTTTGTTGTAAACCTTTATTACCTTTGTTTTATGGACCATAAGGTGGTCTAAAGCAAGTTTTTGGACTTCATCCAAATCTTCCAACTCGGCAAGCATAACTTTGTTGTAATTGGCAGGTATAAGATTGTGTTGTAAAGCTACTTTTGCCGATTTCACATTTAACTCCATCGGCAACACAACATCATGACCAAATGTTAACCGATATGGAGTTGTTCCTATACTTGTCCTTTTTGAGTTTCTATAAGCCAATAAGGCTTCTGAAAGGGCCTCATGCCAACGCCTCAGCTTGTCTTTTATCATTTTTCCAATAATTTCAATCACAACTT